CTTGCCCCCATATTCTATTCTCCATGTAGCACCCATAGCGATTCCTTTAACTCATATTTCAGGTCTTGCCATATCCTTGCCTAAACTCTTTCAACATCTCTCTTCTGGGACACACTTGTGAAGCAATGCCTGCTTCAAGGCCTGTGTACATGCTGTTCCCACTACTTAGAGTGTTCTTCCCCTCCCCCAATACTTGAGTGACTTGCTTCATTAGCTTCACTTAGGACCATCATCCTTGACCCTTATCTAAAATGGCCTCCTTCCCTTCATCACCTTTTACTTCTTTCCCTTTTAAAAAATCTCTCCCAAGCATGTATCTGGGTATACTTATACTTACTTATTTATATTCTTGTTTCTTGTTTTCTATCACTGGAATATAAACTTCGTGAGGTCAGGAGCTCATTCATTGCTATATCCCTAGTGACTAGAACAATGCTCGACATTGAATAAATATTTGCGGAATGAATGAATTGGCATCCTGCTGGTAAATGCCTCCTTATGTAAAGTGATATTCCGAATGATGCAATCAAAACCTGGAATGAAGGGTCAATCTAGAGAAACAACAACTGAAAGAAAAGACAATTCTAGTAGGGCAGGTACAAAAGACAGAGCCAAGATAGAGACAGGTAAATGAGGATGAAAGGACAGTCGGTCATTCTCGCTCATCTTGCCAGACAGAGTATTTTGGACTCCCGTAGACTCTAGTGGACTCTAGAGCCAAGGGAACATACCAAGCAAGACTTTTCAGGCACCATATGTGGCTGCCATGGGAAGCCTCTTTCTGCATAAAGCCTGCTCCAACAAAGAGGCAATGTCTCCGATAGGAATGGACTCTGAGCATTTTTGGCTGCAGCCATAGTCAGCATTGACTTTTTACAGGAAAAGAAAGTTGGCTGTACTTTTGCAGAGAGCACAATTGACTAATGTTTGTTTATTCTTTTCAGTGGACTGTGAGCTTCTTAGGGGAAGCTCTGGTTCTCTATCATTTCTGGGACAAAGTCTGCATTCTTGGAGAACTTTTGAGAGAAAGGCTGAAAGAAACAAAAAAGCAATTGGATCAGGACTCTTCTTGGCTATACTTAAGGGCACGAAGAGCAGCATAATCAGATTTTCCCCTTCGAATCTGATCGATGTAAATCTTTTGTCTGTATTAAACGGCCAGTGGTTAAGACCTTGAACCCAGTACTGTCCACCTCTTCCCAGCCGAAAACTAATTCCTCAAACAGCAAATTGATATGCCCACAAGCTTACACTACTTGCACACAATGGCAACCAATAAAAATCTGAACTTTAAATCACTGATGTCAAAAATTTTTAATGAGTCATTAGGTCATTTACATAGCTCTTTAATCTCTGCTAGGGCAAGATCCTTCGATTTGCTCTAATTAGGAGTTTGACGCTTTCTTAATTAAATAACTTTCCTCCTAGAAAAAAAAAGTGCTTTTAAGTTTCCTCAAGTTTATTACAATAAACTCTAAAGTAATTAAAAATAAATAAATAAGTAACCTGTTCTTTTCAATAGTTTTGGCCACTATCCTATCAGGTAACTTTGATTTTTAATTTATTTTTAAAGTATACATGTCTTTCAACTTTAGATTAAACATTTGACCTTGTTGACATTTCAGAGACAATTTCAGAGTGTTTCTTTTGGGGGATTCCCCTTTCTCAGAGTTTCTCCGGCTGCAGCAGCATCCGGAGTTGACAGTCACTGTGGGCTTTCCCCTTGACCTTACTGTTTATTTCTTTAGTTTGTCCTACTCTGTGAATACTGAGAAAGAGAATTCTTTTATATTCTGAAGGACATAAGTGTGGCTTAAGACTGAACATTGATCAAAGTCTGCAAGTGGAAAGGAAAGATCTTTAGCATCATCCTCGTTGTGAAAATTGTTTGTCTCTGCCACAAAAGTGTGATAAAATGGCTCTGCTATTTTTCCTGCTGGGGGTACAGGTTATCACAGAACAGGCAAGGTGTTTTCCCTCCAGGACCACCATAAAGACCTTGTATATACTCCTCTTTCTTTTTGTCCTTGTTTCTCTTAAGCAAGTGATTTTTTCAGGCAATAGAAAAATGTTTTTAATCCAGTACAGTAACATCCACCAAGCGTTACTCTGTACAGGGAAACCAACTACATGTGACACAAATCATGATTTTTCCAGGGTGCCCGGGACAACATATTTCCCTGAGTCTTGGTCCCAGGTTGCTGAAGCCTTAAATCAGTGTGTGTCTGATCAGTTAGCACACTCTCTTCTGGAGGCCTCCTTACATGTACTCTGATTTTCATCAAATAACTACCCCGTACCCCAGCGTCTCTAAAGCAATTCTGTTTTGCACATTCTGTCCTTTCTTCCCTCTAAATTACTACACGACCAATGCCAGGCTGTTTCTTGTCAGTGAATTCCTAAATTAGCATTTATAAAATGTACTTTTGGATTGCATTTCTTTACCTTTCTTTGACTCAACATTAAATCAGTATCCCTCCTCTCAATCTCTGTCTGTCTCTCTCTCCTCCTCCCGCCTCCTTCTCCCGACCCCCGTCACATTTCTCACTCTTCACATCTAATTAATGTTTCTTTTTTAGGTTACAGAAAATGGAAAGATTTCATTGAGGACTTCTTCATACAGGGCTCTTACATCATGGACTAGAAATTGAGAATCATTACAGATCACATATCATAATGGGCTTCTCCAAAAAGAGGTGGATGCTTACTTGCTAATTGCTTTCATCAGGAATGTGCTCCCTGGAATTCCCTGGGAGGATTTTCTGAGGTCCCAGGGAAGGCTTTAGGCATAGAGGTTAAAAAATCCTGCGCGGGCATGAGAAGTCCCATTTTGCCAGGGTGTTCATGTCGTGAGTGGGGAAGCATAGCGGAGACGTGGAAGGGGCAGCGGTAGGACTATTTCCATGTATGTGTTTAGCGCGCCATCTAGTGGCTGAAGCTCTCAGAAGGGAAGAAAGCCCGAGATCCCCGGGAGAGCAGACACAGCTCAGGGTTGGCCCAGCTGGGTCAAATCCTGATTGCTAAGATGGCTGTATTTCAACTTTACCAAAGCACAGGTGACAATTGTTGTGTACATTCTTGAGAGGTTGGTGGAAGCCATGTGATAGTCAAGGAAAGGGGTAAAAGACTTTAAAGACTTATTAAGAAAGATAAAAAGTACTGCTACGCAATGACTCCAGAAAGTAAAAATCTAAAGTATAAGTGCTCTGGTTGAGCAAATAAATGAGACTCTTCTATGAATATGGGAAACACAAAAAGGAATTAAGGAGGAGAAAAAAGAGAAGGTGTGGTAAGAAAATGAGAGAGGAAGGCAGGAGAACACAATGTTTGTAGACAGTTCTAAACCTGGGTTCAAATTTTAGTGCTACCACTTAATATTTGTATGACATTATGCAGTTGATTTAAACTCTCTGAGCCTCAATTTGTCCATCTGTAAAGTGGGAATAATCCCACCTATCTTCTAGGGATGCTGTGGGGGTTAGATAAAAGAATATACGAAAATGCCAAGCCCAGAGCCTTACTTTAAAACGCTCAATACATGGTAGCTGTTATTAGTAAGGAGAGGTCAAAAGAAAATAAAAAGAAAGAAGGGAAAAGGCTTTGAAAGGTATAATGTGGAACACATCATGATTTGAGAAAGGAAATAACATCTAGGACTGTCCAATTTAGCACAGGCATTTGATCGACGTAAGAGGTAAAGTCAATGAAAGGAAAAATCTCCTCTGACTCTAGTGGACAGAGGGTGTCTGTCTGAAGCCCACTTTTGTTATTATGGTTACAGGTGTCTGTGAGGGCTCCACGGAAGGGCCCTCCCTCTTGGCACCCCTTGATCTTCAAGCTGTGGGCTGAGAACCTTACACTCAACCACCTACAGATCTCCAATTCAGTGCTGGGAGCTTATATGAAGGAAAGGCAAACGATCCATTGGAGACAGGCTGATCAAGGGGTAGCAACTAGGGACCAGGTTTTATCCGGTGAGTGTAGTCATAAGCATGGCCTAGTTTACAGGGAGCCTTCCGAGGACCCTGACTCACCACTGTCTGTGGCAATTAATACCAACTGAATTCTCTTGGAGAAGCTGGAAGAAATATCTGTATAATCTAAGGCACCTTTCCACACCATTAAAAGCTGAATCACCATGACAGATCCAGGAGGTAGACACATGGAACTATATTGATCTCTTCTTTGGAACATGATATGGCTATTTCTAAGGATTGCCTAAAGCCCTCCAGATACCTGGAGCTTTTGGAGAGCAAAATACTGCACTACACACACACTCATGCCTCCAAGGAAGGTCTTTGCCTATCATCTCTAGCCAGAGCCCAGAGCTGGAGATCTTAATGCCCTTCTCCTGATGTAATGGCCAACTGTAGTCTCGGGGCAACAGCAGCCATTGCTTTCATTTCTAACCTTTTACCAGCTTCCTTCCACGCCAAGGAAAAAACCAGGAACAAGAGCACAGTAATATGATCTTCAACTAGGATAAAATAAAAACAACCCAGTCATGTTTTCCATGGGCTTTTCCAACCTCAAACAAAATGCTTGAAGCAGAGAGAAAGAGATAAAAATATATACATGGAGCTATAAGTATATATACTGTCTGTGTACATACAGCCAAGCACCCTGACCCAAATGTCTCCAGGAAAACCAAGCAGCCAGATACAGAAATCTGATCGTTTCCCCTTCCAGAGTACAGTGTGAGTACAGACAGGAAAAGAAAGTTTCCTGATTACTTGGCATAGAAGGGGTTAAGGCCTCAGCCATCCTATTCTAAAGTGATTTATGATGATGGGTAGTGTTTCAAAACTTTCCCCCACCCAAAGAACAGCCCTCTCCCTCCCCACCGAGTGTACTCTCAACGTGCTGCAATGAGAAGGAGGCGGTGTTTTGCTGATCTGTTGAATTCTTAGTGAAGTTTCCTTGATTTCCAGTGGCTGCTGTTGTTTGAGTTTGGTTTGGATCAAAACTGATTATTCCTGGGAATGAAGCCAGACAAGAGGAAGAAGAAAAAGAAGGAGAAGGAAAGGAAGAGGAAAAAAAAAGGTGGGGAGAAATAAAGGGAGGAGAGAGGAGTAGGAAACGAAAAAAAAAAAAAAAAGCCCCTTTTCAACATCACATTCCTGTGTTTTCCCTCAGCCTGGAAAACATATTAATCCCAGTGCTTTTACTTGCAGAAACAAAGGGACTAAGCCAGACCGGAGAATAGGGTGATAAGTAGGATCCTGGAACTCTAAGGAGAGAAAAGAGTGAGATTCAGAAATAGCTGAGGCTCCGCTTTAAGGGGCGTCCTGTCTGTCGGCACAGGGGACCGGCACACACAGACACAAGACGGAGCAGAAACTACTGAAAAATGGAGATGCAAAAATTTAAAAGGACAGCTCCTGTCATCTCACCCTACTTGTCAAGAAGGTAAAAAGACACAGCCAGAAAGAAAAGAAGAAATCAGCTCAGCCCTCAGGTCAGGATAGGTGACTTTGGGAGCTGGAGCTGCAGCACACACGAGCCTTGCAAAGGAGAAAGAAAGTTGGGAGGAAAAAGTATTTCATCTGGGAAATTGTCTTGGGACCATACTTCAGATTGCTTTTTAAACCCTCTGCATTCCATCTCCATGAGCCACAATGTAAGTGTGTAATCTTTTCTGTCTTTGGTGTGTTTATTTCTTTGTTGCTTGTTTGAAGAAATGAAATGGGAATGTTCTCGTAATTAATATGCTCAGTGTGCATTTTCTCTGGAGCATCAGAGTCAGTGGAAAGGGTGCAAGCATGCTGAACGGGGCACTGGGCTGGGTTTCCTGCTTAATGTAACTGTCTCTGCTAGGTGCCGACAAATTACAGGGGTTTAAAATTTACAGGATCTCATCCTATTTTCCATTCCCTGACCTTCTTCCTCCTTCTCTAACCACCCTTTCCCCTAGCCTTTGGCCAAAATAGAGAAAGAGAAAATGCCCAGTTCTGTTTGTAATTAAACAATTTTCTTTCTTTTTTCTCCCGCTTCCCCTCCCCTTTTGTCTTTTGACCTTGCTGCCTCCCAAAGTGGATTACACAATGACATGGAGAATGGGACCCAGTTTGACCATGCTGTTGGCAATGTGGCTGGTGTGTGGATCAGAACCCCACTTCCATGCCACGAATCGAGGAAGCCAGGGAGGGCGGAAAGCGCCTCTGGTTTCCCCAGTCAACAGAAGGCCAGCTCGGTTTCTGAGGCACATGGGGAGGTCTAAAGGAATTGAGAGAACCACGCTGGAGGAACCAAACCTTCAGCCTCACCAAAGAAGGAGCAGTGTGCCGGTGTTGAGAATAGCTCACGAAAAGGACCTACCGGCCCCGCTGGGCATCAGTGGGGCTCCGGTGAGACCTGAGCGGAGACCAGCAGCCCGGAGCTCTCCCCGTGACATGGTCCGAGATGAGGGGTCCTCGGCTCGTTCAAGAACGTTGCGCTTCCCCTCTGGGTCCAGCTCTCCCAACATCCTTGCCAGCTTTGCAGGGAAGAATCGCGTGTGGGTCATCTCGGCCCCTCACGCCTCAGAAGGCTACTACCGCCTCATGATGAGCCTCCTGAAGGACGATGTGTACTGTGAGCTGGCAGAAAGGCACATCCAGCAGATAGTGCTGTTCCATCAGGCGGGCGAAGAAGGCGGCAAGGTGCGCAGAATCACCAGCGAGGGCCGGATCCTGGAGCAGCCCCTGGACCCCACCCTCATCCCAAAGCTGATGAGCTTCTTGAAGTTGGAGAAAGGGAAGTTTGGCATGGTCCTGTTAAAGAAGACGCTGCAGGTTGAGGAGCGCTACCCTTATCCGGTCAGGCTGGAGGCCATGTACGAGATCATCGACCAGGGCCCCATCCGCAGGATAGAGAAGATCAGGCAGAAGGGTTTTGTCCAAAAATGTAAGGCCTCTGGGGTAGAGGGCCAGGTGGTAGAGGAGGGGGACAACGGTGGAGGGGCGGGAAGGCCAGGCCTGAGCGGTGGGAAGAGGAAAGAAGACCCGAGGAGGGCGCAGGTCCTACCCACTAGAGAGAGTCGGGTGAAGATGCTGAGAAAGCCCGCCACCACTACAGCGGCTCCTCCGCCACCTCCTCCGACCCCAAGGGCCACCACTCTGCCTCCTGTTCCAGTCACAACAATGACTCAGGCTACCTCTCGGGTGGTGACTGTAGCTGCAAGACCTACAACCACCACGGCCTTTCCGATCACCCAGAGGCCCTGGACCCCCAGGGTGCACCCCTCCTCGGATGCTCACAGACCCCTAGCAACAACCGCGGTGACCACGCCCAGGGGGGGCGTAGCCTTAGAGAATCTCTACCCTCCACCCAGGAAGGAGCTGCCCAGGGAGAGGCCACAGACCACCAGGAGGCCCAGCAAGGCCAGCAGCTTCGAGAGCTTCACGGCCGCCCCTTCCACACCTACTTCGGAGCATAGCACCAGGACTGTCACCGGCCGTTTCCGGGACAACCGCACAGACAGGCGGGAGCATGGCCACCGGGACGCAAATGTGGTACCAGGTCCCCACAAGCTAGCAAAAGGCAAACCTCCCAAAAGGAAGGCCCAGGACAAAATTCTTAGCAATGAGTATGAGGATAAGTATGACCCCAGCCGGCCTACTGCCTCTCACTTGGAGGAGGAGTCGCAGGTGGGGAATATTCCCCCCTCAAAAGCAAAGGAGTCTAAAAAGCTTGAAAAGCTTGAGAAACCTGAGAAGGAGAAGAAAAAAAAGGTGAAGAATGAGAAAGCAGACAAGTTACTCAAAAGCGAAAAGCCGGTGAAGAAGGACAAGACTGAGAAAAAGAACAGGCAGGAGAAAGAGAAAAGCAAGAAGAAAAAAGCAGGTAAAACAGAGCACGATGGCTACTTGAAACCCACCACAAAGCACTTCACCCAGAGTCCCAAGAAGTTGGTGACTGACCTGCTGGGTTCTTTTGAAGGCAAACGAAGACTCCTTGTAAGTAATCTTCTTCTTGGTATTGTTCTGTGGGTTGAGGTGGGGGCATGTTAACTTTTGGTCATTATTATTTTAAAATCACATTGCTGATGGCAGACCGTGGCTGAACCTGTGCCATGTCAAGGAGCTCAGGAGGTGTGTCAAGGAAGGGCAGCCAGGGCAGCAGCTCCTTTGGTTTGAATGTTAAATGAATCTTTTTTCATACAGACTCACAGAGTCAATGGCAGGAGGACCTTGGACATGTATGTACCCAGGAGAGCACCTGTATAGTCAGCTTCTTCCAAACCCATCAATACCCATCCCCCATCTTTACTCTGCTCTTCCAAGGGATAGTTCTGGATACAGCTCCCTTTTACCAAGTTCAAAGAATAAAAGAAGAATGAATGAGGTTTCTGGAATGGCATGCATTGACTCTGATCACAACTTAGGAAAAGTGTTTCTCTCTTCAGGACCTTAGAAACTAGAGGCATGTATATGGGAAAAAAACAAGGCTTCTACTTTCCTACCAATATCAATATCAATATCTATATCAATATCAATAATTGGAAACCTCAAAGGGGAAAGTGAGGTAGCCTGGGTGGAGAGTGAGTATGACTGGGAATGGGGAAGGGTCCTCATGAATGCTTTTAAAACCAGCTGGTTGAAATCTTCTCCCTTAAAGGCAGCCTCTTCCGTCACTGTCCAGCTATTGGTAGGAGGGCAAAAGGATGGAGTGTGGGAACTGGGTTAATCGTTCCAATTTCCAGCACCCTAGAGACATCTGAACTTGGAGTCCAGATGTCAGTTTCTCTGAGACTCTTTAAAATGAACATGAGTGTGTGTGTGTGTGTGTGTGTATGTGTGTTTATGAAAAAAAAGACAAGCAGTCCTTTGCCTTTGTTTTTGAGTGCCACTAGTATTGAGAAAGTTACAGGTCTATCTCTATAACTCTCTCTTTGTCCATTACTTGCTGCTATGATAACGTTATCTAGTCAAACCCCAGGAAGGCATTGGACAGGAATAAGTGCTACCCTAAATGTAAGGGCGATTCTCAATAGCAATGTAAGAATGGCTCCTCCTCTTATGTCTCCTTGCCCACACTTTTAGTGCCCTTCCAAAATTTTACCCGTAGCTTCTTATTTGCTATCATTTTACTGCAGGCTGATAAGAGAGTGTGATAAAATTATTTCAGAGAAAAAGTTCAGTAAAATTTGGGGTAATATGAGTCAGGAATGATTCTCTCAGATACCTGAGTAGGAGGAAGCCATCTCATGCTCCGGAAGATAGCATCTATCCTACTGAAGGCGTAAGGTGTCTCCATGCCCTGCATTCCCCTCACCAAAGCAGACAGGCACTCTTCTCTCAGGGCACCTCTCAGAGGGTTTTTTAGTTTTTCCAATCTGGCCTTAACTTAGAGTAATAATATGAGCCAGAGAAACTCTGATGTCCATTTATCTTTAGTGGTTTCAAAAAGTTGAAATGTGTATTTGAAATGTTATTCAGAGCAGAGTCCCTTGTAGTATTTATCATGGATGGGGTGTGTCCCCAAATCCTCTTAGCTCTTCCATCAACAGTGTAGTTATTGATCGAACAAAGCCTAAGTTTTGATCTAGTCTAAAGGTTTGTGTATGTGTTATTTATTTTCATAGTTGTTACTCAGTTTAACCAGAACCTTAAAGTAACTATATAAACTTAGGTTAGCAGAGGATAGGCTGTTCAGTTTAGTGTAGTTTAACAGCTATTTGGTCATTCCCAGAATGTACAAATTTAAATGGAAATGTTCCAGTCAGAACCAAAAGAATCACTGATTTCAGAGTAGAACTCTACTTGGTGCCTGAATGTTTGCTAGAGAACCAGTGGGAAAGCTCCTCTTTTGGGGCTGTAGGAAAGCCATTAGTAGTGTGCTCTGTTGCTCTCCTCCTGAGTACCTGGGACTTTGTCCAGCCTGCCAGAGCACGTCACCCAACCCTGGCCATTTAGCCAACAGGGTAGGCAAAGTATTCCTTATTGTCAGGTTTTAGCCAGGGGAAAAAAAATAATCATGGGTAAAATATCAAGATTGTACTTGTGTACCTGTATCTGGTAAGTACTTCCATTATCCCTAGTTTGTAAGTTAACAAAAAGGAGGTTTTCATACTGTATCCCTGAAATTAGTCATGCCCTTTATTTCTCTTTCTCTCCACTCCCTTAGTCAGGGATTTGAAAGCCCAGCTGGGTCTTTTCTACTTTTAAAAGTATCCCTGATCATAAATTTCTAGCAAATGAAACTCAAATGACAGCTTCTGCTGATGTCATGTGAGGCAAAACAGAAACCAGCTGGGATTGCTCAAGGCAATGTTGCTCTTGGGGGCTGGTGAGAGATTCAGGTTTGTTATTAAAAAAGAAAGTACCAACAAGAGACATTTCAGTCTTGCAGTCCCATGTGTCCCCAGCTAATGATATGTCAGAAATGTGTTTTTCTAAAGAGCTAATGATATCCAAAATAGGAATGGATTAGAAAAGACAAGATGAAATAAACATGAGTGTGCGTGATACAATATTTAAAAATGGAGAGAAAAGAATCTATTTGACCAGAGAGGAGACTTGTGTTTCTGGGTGAAAGAACTAGTTGCTGCCATTTAAAGTTTTTTCCACTTATTTTCCCTGTCAAACATGGTTGGTGGTATTCAGGAAGTTCAGTAATTCAAGTAATATTCATTAATGCTTAGCACTCTCCAAGCTGTTCAAGTACGGCTGAGAACATATACCTCCAACTGGCCTTAACCTAAGCCAGTGTGCTCAAACTGAAATAAGGTTTGCATTCCAAGAAATTGTACAGGTCCTATAGCTCATCTTTTCAGGTTTTCAGTAACCTGGTGCCCAACTACAATTTATCATAAACCGTGGTACTTTGCATTTATTCATATCATTCTTTAGATGTGGAAATATTACATAACCTCCACTTAACCAATTACTTAGAGAAACACAGGAAACAATGGTATGGGTTGTAGTTGAGTAAACAACAACCTAGAAGCCTTCAGAGAAGCTGTAGGAGGAGCCAAGTGTCCTATTCTTAGGCCAGAGGTCAAGCCTTCAAACCCCGTGCCTCTCAGTCTGTCAGAAGAAAAGAGCACACTCTGCTAGGGCTTTTTGCCAAGACTGCAGTTTAATTTTCATGACAATCCCATGAAGAAGGACTTATTAACTCTATTCTACAGATCAAAAAATAGAAGCTTAGAGAGGTTGAGAAGTTTCCCGAGGTGTATAGCTAATACTTGGCAAAGTGAGAGTTATAACTCAGGTCTGTTTGATTTTAAAGCTCATTCTCAAGCCACTCCCTTATTCCACCTTCCTGTGGGTATAAATGTGGGGCATATGCCGTAAATGAAGAGGACACTGAGAATGATCCTATTAGTTAATCAATACAGACATTTAAAAATTCATTTTCTACCTTGAATTATTCAGATAAATGGTGAGATATATCAGTTGTCAACATTCTGTGCTGAGTATCAAAGTAGAGTTTCTGCTTTTAATACTCAGCTAGTTCTCTGCACTTCAGCAATCTGGCTTCCCTGGCAGCCTGTCAAGAGCAATAGATTGAATCCCAGTCTAATCCCTCAAACTGGTTGGTGTCAGCTTGGTGGTGACAATGATGAGAAAGAATATAGATAAGTTGTTTATCACTTAAACATTGGACTATGTGGAGTATAGCTGACAAGCTGTCATTTTGTACCCTGAGTTCTACCTATTTGTCATTTAACAAGAGGCCTCATAGTGCTGAATTGCAGAGATTCGGGTTCAAATTTAAGCATCCTTTGGGGACTGAATCCTTGTAATTCAAGTAATTAATACTTTCAACCTTACTTCAGAAATCTGAGTATTGGGACAACAATCTACTTATTTGATTTAATTTTGGAAAAGGATATAAAGCTCTGCTTTACTAAGGCAGACTACTAGTTTGAAAGTTATTTTTCAGAATCTGTAAAAATCTAGTGTTTCGAACCTAACACAGACTGTAGAATAATTTGAGACTTAAAATACTTACCCCCTAGCATTTTCCATTCCCATTTGCTCCCTTTATTTATGCAAACTGGTTTCATTATACCCTGAGGCTCCTTATGCCATCACACTGTTGGAAAAGAAACATAAAAAAAGAACCACACACAATTCTAAATTCATGAGACATGCCGTGATGTATTGCCACCAAACTAGAAAGAGGCCAAGTATGAGACAAAAATGTATACTGAGAAGTTCTAAGATGCTCTTTTTAGGAAGAGGGGATTGGAAATGGTTACCATTTTAAATACTGTTTGAAATACTGCCCAACTAGAAAATGAATGGGACACAGGCAAAGAGACGAAATGCGTTCCGAGATCAGCCTCCTCTACTTTCCCTGATGAGAACTTGAGGAACAAATTAAACCAACTGGTTTGTGGACTGCTGCTAGGCATTTATAGGCAAGGGTCTATTGTGTTTCCTCCCTCTCCTCTGGCCAGTGTGACCTATGTAACCTGAGGAACATGGGCCAGTGTTTGTTCTTCTAGTATGTGCACAGCAGTAGTAGGAGCTGGGACTTCGGTGCCTTGAAGAACTTAGAGTCTAGTAGAGGAGGTGCGACATAAACATAAAATATACTGGTAAATCAAGGATATACATAAATTCCAAGAGAGCAGTGCAGACTATAAGAACAGTAATTAAAAGGAAGAAGTGATCATTGAGAGCTAGAAAAGACTTTAAGGTGGATGCTGAATTTGAAGAATGACTTAGATGCGGATAAATTGGAGAGAAGGGGAGGAGAAAAGAGGAGTGGAAGGGGTGAGCCAAGCCAGAGGAAGGAATGTGGGTGAACTATTCAGCGGTGACATACATATATGGTACTTGGGTGCACACAGCCACACAGACACACACACACACACACACACACACACACACACACACACACACACTTTTACTAATTCTCACTACTTTAAGAGGTTGGCAGGGAACCTTTACAATGGTTTCTGTTGTAAAGTTGAGAAAGCTAAGGTTCATAAGATTAAATGGCTTTGTTAAAGCTAAATGAAAGCCAGGGGTTGAATAAGGATTAAAATGCAAGCCCTCCAACTTTGGCTATAATCACTCTTTCTCTGTGCCGCTCTGCCAAATTTTTTTTCATTTCGTAATTTAGAATGGTTTGGCTATAGGGTGAAGAGGTCATATAAGGTAAAGTAGGAAGAAAGTTTAGCAAGAGAGACTCAGTGCCAGAAGCTAGGAAATGAGTCATGCAAAATAAATGTCACCTCATGGTAGGTTAAGGCATCCTGGGGCAAAGGTCTCAAGGTGAAAATAAATATGAGAGGTCTTTATTTATTTAAGTGCGATTCCCACTGGGTATCCATGGCCTAAGACTACCGTGTTCAGAGATCCGTGGGACAAGGTTCCAGGCAGGGGAGAATGAGGTTCTGTATGATTATATATTGTCTGAAATTATCAGTTATATATAAGAGGGAAAAGAAGACCAAAGGGAGCTTTGAGAACTCTTGAAGTCCAGTCATATCACAGACTGTCCATGGACTTTAAGAATCCATGGCAAAGTATGAGATGAATGAAATGGAGTCTATGTATGGATTTGAAGTTACAGAGGCAGGTAATTATCAGTCATTTAGCATATGGGCAGCTGTGCCCTAGAGACACTTCTAAATATGGGCTTATCCTTCATTAGAATAGGGAGTCCAAAATCATTACCAGTAAATCTTAACTTTATTTTTGACTATTTTGTGTCCTCACTGAAACATTCATTTTAGTCATTTAGTGTGTTTGTGAGCAAAGAACAGCCAGGAAGAAAAACATAAACATACCAATTGAAAATAAAACTCCAAGATTGGGGCTACCATAAAAATCTGAAGAAATATTTTCAGATGTCATATAGCTAATTGAAAACTAACAAGCAAACCAAAAATACCATTGCTATCTCTCTTTTTTTTTTTTAAAGCTAAATATGAATTAATGAATACATTTCAGGAAATTTAATTTTTATTCCTTTTGGGAAATTACATTTCTAAAACAAGCATTTCCTACCCACTTTGTCCATCTGAACAGGCATATAAACAAAAGGCAAAAATAAATGAAATCAAGCTACTTAAAATAAATAACAATCTGAGGAAAAAACTTTATCCCAGAAAATTTTTGTTAATGTTCTACTCAAAAGCTATGGAACACATCTTGATTTCCGTGAGGGATAGTATTTTGTCAAGCATAGAGAATTCTTATAAGGGAAAGCTTACAGGAAGCAATAAACACATATCTGACAGAGAAAAATAAACAGCAGGATGGAGCTGGGACCAGATTCATTAACCATTTTGAGAAAAAATTTGAAAGCAGTTACAACATGATGGTTTCCCCTCTGAAAAATGCTAAGCTAACAGGGAAGACTTCAGAATTATTTAGTAAGGTTAGGTCATAAGTAAAAAAGTAGCTGATAAATTCGAATGTAGTCAAATTCGAGAACATGTATAGAGGCTAATCTGCAGGCCCAGTGATGAGTCAGCAGAGGATGAGTAGAAAGTATTTACTGCAAACATCAGCCATCGAATGTTCCAGTGTGCCCAAGACCTGGCTATTAAATTCTCTGAACCCTGTGAGACATGTAACCACTCAATTCATGAATGTCTGAGCAGCCGATTAAGATAATGAAGATCAAAATGAGGAAAGAAAGATAGCATTTACTGAACAATTTTTACATGCCAATTATTTATGTAATACTCATAACAGCTCTGCAAAATAAGTATTTCTGTACAGAGTTCACAAATGAGAAAACCAAGACACATGGAGACTAGTAAGGTAAATAGTGGAAATGAGTAGAAAACTCTAAGTTGTTTGGAGCCATATTTTTTTAAAAAGCCCTATCTGAATAGTCCCCCTATGGCTGTAATTCTGCTAAATGTCAAAAAAAAACATGTAGTTTAGTTAAGCTTATCTTAACTTAGTTTACTTTAATTTAGTTTAGATGTCAGTCACTGCCAGCCCTCTATTCCGAATTAGAAAACTTTGGGTTTTGTCTTATTGCGAAATCATCACCATTAACTAATATTTGCTTGCCTTCGCTCACCTCCAGCTGATCACCGCTCCTAAGGTCGAGAACAACATGTACGTGCAACAGCGAGATGAATATCTGGAAAGCTTCTGCAAAATGGCCACCAGGAAAATCTCCGTGATCACCATCTTTGGCCCTGTCAACAACAGCACCATGAAAATCGACCACTTCCAGCTAGGTTCTCTTAAATGTTTTAATGATATTATTGTTTTTCTCATAGCTAAGGTGGGACAAATTTTATGGGAGAGGTCGGTGGGGAATCAAAAGAGAAATTTAAATATCCAGAGGATTCTTTCCCTGTGGTAAAAAAGGTCAGTTTGCCTAACTATTTACATAATCATTTCAGATGCTTCTGGTTTAAGTTTTTGGCACTTTAATATGAAAAATATGCAAACACTCTATGGTTTGAAATTCAGTAAGGTGGAGAAAAAAGAGAGAAGTAATACAGAAGTAATATAGGGGGAGAACCAGAGAGATATGTTTCAGATGCTTTCTTTTGGATTCTGAACCTTCTTGCCTGTGAGCAGCGCCATCTGATCTTCCGACACCCTTTAAGTGACAGGCACTGACAGATGGGGACCTGCCAGAACTTGACTCTGGCAAGGATGGGGAGGGAATTTACCAGGGCTGAAAGAAATTGTTAAGATAAATGAAAAGTCACTGAAAATATGGACTGAACTGTGCCCAAGTCCTTTTGGAGAGCAAAAGAATTTGGCTGAATTTAGAGTTTTCACAATTTTTCATATTAATGATGCGTGTGAGACTCCTGAGGCATACAACTCAGCATTGGGCAGCTGAGATCTAACTCATTGCAATTCTCCTAAGAATGTTGCAAGACTTTCTGCGAGTAGTTAAGTCTCATAGTCAGAAGCCCCAAATCTGACCCACCCATTTCTTTTATAATTATTACATCTCTAGGGCTTTATTTAAAAAAAAAAACAAACTTTTTCTTACAAAAATTCTCTACCTATTAAATTTTTATTTTAACTATAATGAAAATCCTTCATATTCCACCATTTGCATATTCTGCATATTTTTCATAAAATATATCTCATCTGAAAACATCTGAAAAAATATAAAACATATTTCCCTCATTAGTTAACATATAACTTCAAAACATATAACACATTATCTCGCAGATTTTTCTGTCATGTGATCTTGGTGTAATTGACTACATATCAGTTGTAATTATGCTCTAATAATGTCCATTTGATTTTTAATATGGCCTAGCTTTCTAAATAATATTTCTTATTGTGGTGAAAACACTTAATGAGATCTACCCTCTTAATTAATTTAACACAATACAATATTGTTAACTATAGCTACCTGTTGTACAGTAGATCTCTAGAATTTATTCAGGTATGAAGTTTTAGTTATTCATTCTCTTATTAGCTCATCTTCTGCTGACATAGCTCCAAATGAAAATAAATAGCATCCTTTCCAATGTCACAGCATGAATCATTGTGGATCAGTGATTGGCTTGTGGATGTGCTATGTATATGTTTGGGAAGGGAAAAAACAACAACAAAAGAGTGTCTTTACTTTAACCAAGACAATAATCATACAAACAGAAGACACAAAAGAAGTTCTGGAGTCCAACAAACCACTTTAAATCCAGTCACAACTCATTTGTTGTGTGACCTTGGGCAAGTTACTTCCTAAGTCTCAGCTTAGAACGTAGTTATGTGTATTTCATAGGCTATAGTGAGGATTTAGTAAGATAATGTATGTAAATACTTGTCACATATAAGCACTATTGCTGTGGTCACCATTTGCTCTGGCAGGCATCTGGAGATCAGTGAGCTGTCACAGGGACTACAGCAGGGACTATAACTGAAAAATACTTGATTGCTTTCTGTTAATTACAGAATGTTGACAGTGAACCCTCACAAGTGCTCTTCAAGATCAGGCTGCATTACTACTCCTGGTGACAATCCTACAAAGCCACATGTTCAGTGGTTAACTGGGATTCAGCCATTTGCTTCCTGGATTTTCAAATAGTAGCATGAGCCAGTGAGCTCAATTATAATCCAGATGTCTAGAGAGGAAGTAGGTATTCAATCCAGTGCAGAAACGGGTTCTGGCTGGTGATGAAAGCCCTCCTTCACCAGGTGTTCCCGGTGTCAAATGTGTTACCTACCAGCTCTTACACAAAGAATTCTCATTTCTTATTTCAAGGAAGGTTGGAAAAATCATTATATCTCTCACCTCAACTTCTATATGGTTCCAACTGTTATAAGCATCTGGTGCTGCCTTGGCAACATTTTAGCATTAATCTTGCTGATTTCTAGACATCTGGATTGAATATGAACTACAGCAGGACTGAGGTTTCCTTTTTTGCTCTATTAGAAATCAGGTATTGTGATTTGGGTGTTTGCCTCTCACAGAATGGCAGCTTGGACATGGTTTGCGGGCCTTTTACCTTGTTCCTCCTCTAATTCCTGGAAGGCCTTTTTGTCCTTGTGTCATGTCCCAGGTTACCCTTATGGGAAAGGCCTTTGGCCAAGACTGGGAGTCAGCCATGGGAAAATAGGAATTGGCATGCTCCATGGTTTCAGTGAACCAAACTCAGCCTTGACTGATTTTCAGCTGGAAATCTATCAGATGGTTTTACTTTCTTTAAAAATAAATCAAGCACTCTGTACTGTTCCAGATTTTATTGGGCCTTAAAAACAGAGTCCCACGTTCAACTACGGTATGGGGAGTTCTCCCAGCTGGTCCATTTTGTTAAATGTATTTAAACTATGGAAGGTGGACCTATAAATACTAGCAAACTTATCCAAAGACTTTGGACATTAGCTAACAAAAGTTATTCAGTCTTGAGCAAATGTTAATGCAGAATAAACCCATCTGGTTTTGCCAACCCAGAGTATATTATACGGGAAGGTTTAGAATGATCTAATAGTGAAAAGCATTCTTAGTTGTCAATGGTATTTAAAATGTCAATCTAGGATAGGAATATTGGTATATATGTCAAGAGGATGCATTGTAGACAAAGTTTGTCAGATAGGAAGAAGTTGCTGCTAAAGGCACTTTATTGCAGAATGAAAATAGAAACGAGGGGTAAACACAGCATGCATTTTTTGTTGTTGTTTTCTTTTTCTTAGCAAAATAGAAGAGTTCGAGCATAATCTATAAAAAGGGAGGTGGAAAAGTTGATGGTGGTGAAATGTGGCAACAAGGAGAGAAAGTGTTAATTCCTTAATCATATGAGTAATTCATGGGTGAATTTCTAAAAAAAAAATTTTATAAGTGAGTATGATAGAAGACATTTCGGCCTAAAATACTCTGTCTTTGATTCTGTTGAAGAGAATTGTTCTTTATGGACACAAGCCTCACAAACATCAGGACCCATAACAAAGCAAAGATGCTGCTTTTCCTCAGGAGCACCTGAAAAATTGACCCTTTGCCCCAACTCCTCCTTCATCAGTGGTGGCAATGCCTGGCAGCTGGTTTCTCTAGACTCTGCCACTCTGTAATGCGAGATCAGATTTCCAGACACTGACTGCAGTGTCCCTCTCTGTTTATTCAGTCTCTGATTATCAATCACTCTGCATGCTAGAGGCTACAGAGGTTGTAACCTAACTTGTTCAGTCATCCCATTCCACTGCCCTCGCTGCCTCTAGTATCAGTATATCAGTGTCAAGATCAGTCCCTAACAATCAAGAAGCATAAAGCACCTGATAGGTCAACTGTGCAAAACAAGTGTTTAAAGAATGTGGTGGGGGGGATAAGTTGCCATTCCAGTTGCCATTGTCAGAGAAGGTATTGTAAATATCAGAGAATTTTGAAAAGTGGGTGGATTTAATGGAGGGGCATTGAAACTGAGTAGATTTTTTGATAAATGATTACTCTACCAAGGTACTTTTGTTTTTTATTTATTTTTTAAAAAGAAATAGTACATTTTTTTGGATTCCAAAGTCAGCTTTACATGAAAAGGTACACGCAGACAAGTCTTACACTCATTTCTGGCCGCTTTACCCCATTACTCTCTGCCCCCATAGATATTTTTATGATTTCTTATTGTTCATTTAGTGCTTCTTTATGCAAATACAAATAAATGTAAATACCTACATTCCCCTTCTTTTTATACAAAATATAGTATATTTTATATACTGTTGTACATTTTTCTTTTTTCACTTAAATATATTTCCTGAAGATCTTTCCTTATGACTATATAAAGTTCTTTCACATTCCTTATTAAGCCATTGCTTTAATAAACTACCATAGTTTATTTAACCAGTCCTCTTGTTGATAAACACTTGGATTGTTTTCAGTACTTTGTTATAAAGAGTTTTACAGTTAATAACCTTGTACATTTATCATTCTGTGTATATGAGCATATCTTTGCAGTAGATTCTTAGAAGTAGGATTGTTGGGTCAAATGGAAAATGTATCTAGTCTTGGTAGATATCAGTAGATTTCTTTTCATACAAGCTGTATTATTTTGCAGTCTCACCAGCAATTTACAAGTGTCTGTTTCCCCAAAACTTTCCAACAGAGTATATGATCAAACTTGTGAATGTTTTTAACCAATGGGATATGTGAAAAATGGTATCCTAGGGTAGTGTAGTGTTTGGTTGCATTTCTTTTTTTATGAGTATGATGGAACATCTTTTCATACGATTAAGTAACATTTATATTTTGTTTTTAATGTCCTTTGCTCATTTTCTCTTGGGTTGTTGGTCTTTTTAATCTCAATTTATAGGTACTCTTTATTCATTAGGATAAAATTCAGATTCCTAGGTCCCCTCCCCAGGCCAAGATACTGACTCAGTCTGGGGATGGGTTTCAAAAATGTTACTCAAGTAATTCTGATTTACAGCTAGTTTTGGTCTAGAGAATAAGGCTGGGTATAGGATAGAAGAGAAGAGAGGCCTAGAAATGTAGGTTGGCATCACATTTTAGAGGATTTCAAATACCAAGGCAAAGAATTCAAACTTTATTGATAAGCCACATGAAATCACTAGAGATAGGAATGTATTTTTAAATAAATTTTAAATAACTTTTAAGATTTAGTAGAGTCAGTGTGCAGGATAGAAAAGTACCTGGCAGGACACAGTCTTCATAGATAGGACAAGTTGCTCTTTCTAGGGACCAAGTGAGAGCAGCAGCTTTGTAATCAGGAATGGCCAGAGTAGTCCCTCCATATAGATGCAATCTGGTCACTCTTCCTAC